TTTATTGTCATTTTCTGATTTGTTTATGTTTACATTCAGCACCATTAACACAAGATCACTCACACACTCTAGATTTCTAGCTGTCAGTTCCACTGAGAAACGTCTCTTGGATCACCTTATTGATTGCTCTCGATCATGCTAAATATTTCCGTCTGCTGACCACTACAAGTTTCACTCCTGAACAGTGATGCAAAATATCATGACACTCACGTGACACTCGTCTACGCATCAACCGACTGTCGCTGATAGAACGTTTTGTCACGCAGTGAGAGGTAGAGCCATGGCAAACAACAATCACCAGTAATGGTCGCTGCTCACAAGCAAAACTTTACGATCGCTGCTGATGATCAAAAGCACATCGAAAACAGTGAATACTTCTGCAGTACTATGATGAGAAAAAGTGAAACGACAGAAGAAAATGAAAACAATGCCTACGCATTCCAAGTCCTTCTCGGCAGGCGCAACTGTGTGAGTTACAAACAAAGCAGGCAACATTAAACCGAAGCTGTTGGGCTTACTCACCAACACACTCACATAAGCAAGCAAAGCTTCAAAACGAGCACAGATGAGTGTCGTGATTGTCGGGAATGACCAGATCGGTTATGGATCACAACCGAAGACGACATTCACAAGTTGATTTTTACTTTTTTCACACTTAATTGCATTCTCGATGTTCGGTACTTTTATTAGCGGACTATACTCGGCAAAACTATTAAATTGCTACACATTCGGCTATTTTACCATGTTTATACCGAAAACAGTAACGTGAGTAACTGAAGACCAGTATTTTCTAATATTATTTACTGTGTTTTGCTATTTTCATTGCTGATATGTTCTGTAAACTTAAATTCTCTCCTGTGGCCAATTATTTCAGTAATAGCTCTTACTGACGTCTCGGTTATCATGCTACTTTTACTGAAAATTCATCACTTCATTACCGAACGTTTGTTAAAATTTACTGAACAAACTGTTATTTTTGATTTCACGTGGAACATCTGTCAAAAACTTCAAAAGCGCGCCATTTTGTATTGCTAATTTTGTCGTACGCAGTGAACATTGAACTGTTTTAGTTTTTCTAAAAGTTTTCACTGATCTTTGTCTAAAAAAGGGAATATGGACGGAATTTTCGAGCGGATTGAACAGTGCGATGTAGGAGCGAAGGAAATACTTTGTAAGTACATTTACTTTCATTATGTTTTCTCCGTAGAATACTGCGACGGTAGACGACAGCATAATCTGTTTTTTCTGCCGGCGATCGGTTCCCGGATACTTGGAAGGCTTAGGACACCACTTATCTTGGCACATACAAAACGGGGACTTTCAAAAGGATGCAATTTTTTATGATTGCACCTTCCAGAGGTGTCATATGCGGTACACAAACCAAAAATCCCTCAAGCGGCACATTAAAGAGAAGCATCCGTTGCTGTCGGAAGCTTCTTCCCCAAAATTTAAGGAACTGCGGGAATCTCCTCTCCTTGAAGAGGTCTATCTAAGACAACATGAAAGTAACACCGGGGGTAAAGCACAACCGTCCGAGGAAATGCTTTCTCTCGATGAAATTAAAAAAATAGCTTCGTTGAGCATTTGTCGCTTAGCTGGTGACGTTGGGCTTCCGCAAACCAAGGTTTTGGAAACTATCAAAATTTGCGAAAATGTTGTTTGGCAAGTAGCAGAATACTTGGAAAAGAAGGCTGTTATTTTCCTTGCATCAAAGGGCGTTGATATAAACAACGATGAGGCGCAACAGTTCTTTAATTCGTTCAGGAACATGGATCTGTTTGCGGATGTTAAAACGTGTCCTCTTCGAAAGTCGTTTCTTAAAAGTATGGCAGTGAATATACCAGAGCCAGAACCAAAATGTGTAGGTAAACGAACCGTAACGAGCCATGCACAAGATATGCCGTTCGAAATGTATGTCAATGAGACATTTTCATACATCCCCATTATTGACACCCTCAAGCTTATTTTTCGAGACCCGCACAACCGACTTTTGCTGACTGAAACAGATCCTCTAAACACTAGAGAGGTTCTAGAGTACAGCTCTTTCAGGACAGGTTCTCTGTTCAATAGTATTAGTTATTTTAAAGAGCATCCAAATGTGATCCGTCTCTCTTTATACCAGGACGACGTAGAACTGGGTAATGCCTTCAGTTCTCGAGCAGGGAAAAACAAAATATCAAACGTATGCTTCAAAGTTCAAAACTTTCCAGAAAAATGGAACAGCTCACCCAGTACGATTTTTCCAGCAATTTTTGTGTCGTCGAGTCTTGCAAAAAAACACGGTTATAACAAAATCTTAGAACCTTTAGTTGCTGATCTTAAAAAACTTGAACAAGGTGTAACTGTTTACTATGGTGAAGAAATATTCGTACTGCAAGCAACAGTTACGGTGTTCTGCGGAGATTCTTTGGCCATACATGACGTTTTTGGTTTACTCGGACCGAGTGCGAAATATTTTTGCAGAGTGTGTACGATTTCCCGGCCAGAGTTTCATGAGGTTCCAACAAGAGAGTGTCCTTTGCGAGACACTGCATGGTATGACGCTAACTTAAAAGCTGTTCAAGATGGTGAACAAAGTCCCTCCGAATGTGGTCTCAAAGCTTGTGGAAGTATTTTGAATGAGTTACAAAACTTCCACATAACAGAAAACTGGTCACTCGATGCTATGCATGACCTGGCCGAAGGCATCATTCCGTTGACGTTACAACTGGTGTTGAACCGCTATGTAAAGCAAAAGGTTTTATTCTTCACTAAATCATTTATTAATCATCGAATCTCCACATTCAATTTTGGTTATGTGGACCGCAAAAATCGACCTATGGCCAACATAACGGATGAAATGATATCTGCCCCGGGCGTACACAGAATGAAGCAGACGGCAACCCAAAACTTCGTGTTTCTCAGGGCTTTTCCATTTTTGTTTGGACACAAAGTACCAGAGGACTGCAAATATATGGTAATGATTGGGCATCTAATAAATATCACTAGAATCCTTCTTTCACCTGTCGTCTCAGCTGATATGCTAGCTTGGTTAGATGAGCATGTGCGCTTATACAATGGGCTATTTTTTGAAAATTTTAAAAGACGAATAAACAAAAGCCACCATCTCCAACATTATTCGGAGCTTATTCGACGAAATGGAAGCGCTAAACAATTCAACTGTTTGCCATTTGAACAGAAAAACAAACCATTAAAAAACCAGGCTGCGACTTGTCGTAACTTTAAAAACATCTGCAAAAGTGTTGCCGAGCGACAATGTTTCCGTACCGTTATTGATCTACTTGAAAATCCATTCAGTGATAAGATCACGTTTAGACCTGGTCCAAGAATGCATAAAGATAACACACTTAGCATGTTTTATCTGGATGAAAAATATCAGTTCGTTTTCCGTCCTAAAAGTATAATAATCAATGGCATCGAATTTCGAAACAATACGGTAGTTGCTGTCAAGAACCACGACAATCTATTGTTTCCTAACTATGGCATCATCCGCGAAATCATGGAACTGGATGGCCGGATATACTTTCTGTTACGAGTATGTGAAACTGTATGCTATGATGAATTTGTACAAGCTTACGAAGTGCAAGTGAGTGGAGTAGACCGTTTCATCAGTATTGAAATCATTTTTCAACACACGACATTTTCATTTTGGAAGAAGTACGACAATTCCACCAAATATATATCGAGGCGCTTTTATAACCAAGACTATTGAAAATATCCTAAATACATTATGTTTTTAAATAGAATCTTCATCATAATTAAGGTTTGTACGCTTGAAAACATTGTCTATAGCATTGATAATAATGTTTCCTCTATCTCCGTGTAGTACGCTGTTGCATGCACCACATTCATAACATATTTTCGTATCTGCAGCTATCCAATGAATCCGCTTATCAGCTACTAGAATCAGCTGACGTCTCCCGAGGTATCATTGAACCTATTTCCGATCACTAAAATTGAATAATGGTACAATGTTTTATTAGGTAAGCTTATGTGGAATGAAATACATACACTCGAAAGTTCAGCACACAGCAGCAAAAAGTCGACTAACGATTAGCCAACACCATTTCCCGCAATAACTTTCTTCAATTTTCCCAGCGAAGTTCTTAAATAAATGCAAAACATAACAAAAACAACGCTGTTCACTTTTTAGATTGCTTTGATCAAGGTTCCTATTTTTTGAGCTAAGAAACTTATTACAGAAGCTTATACAGTTTCAAGATAAACAAGGAGGACCCAACTTTTCCGTGTTCAAAAATTTGTTAATGTGACACCACTGGATGCATCAAGGGCCAAACCAAGGTGACTACATATAGGTGTTCTAATGTGTCAAATTCATTATTCAGCCATGTTGGATTTTTGTATGGGACAGCGACCGAGTTTGTTTACAATTTGCTCTAAAACCGCACTTTCCCTCCCCCCCCCGCGACCTCCTCGCCTATATAGTGACAAAGCTGTATCACCATGTATGTACCCACCATGGGCCAAACCGAGGGGGACGACTCTATCTACGATGCAGGAAATATTGTGTTTTGCTGTGGCTAGCTGCGCGTACGCTGAGTAGATAGAAAGAAGATTTATCACGATTTTGAAGATTTCCTGCAAAAAGATGATGCACGATGCAAGTAGATGAGAGAAATGAAAGAAGATTTTTCGAAGATTTATTCGATAGTGTGAGATTTTTTGAGCATCTAGAATTGAGATTTAGATGTGTCGCCCCCCTCGGGCCAAACCGTAAAAAATAGAAAATTGCAGTTGCTGATATTTTGATTAGTGTTTATTTGATCAAACATTTTTCTAACGTCATTTACATCAAGGTGAGTACATATAGGTGTTCTAATGTCAAAGATTGTTCTAATGTGTCAAATTCATGATTCAACAATGTTTGATTTTTGTATGGAGGAGCAACCGAGTTTGTTTACAATGTGCAACAACAGAAGGATTTTCGAACATTCTCATTTATTCTCATTCATAAGTGCTGGTCAGTTTTTTTTAATTAGGTTGATTTGTTTTTTTCATTTTCAGTGGATGAAGGCATAGACGACTTACAAACTTTCATGGAGCTAGATAACAACGATTTTGCACGCCTTAAGCTGCGTACCAAGGTTATCAAACTAATTCAACGCATGCAGAAGGAGCTTTACGACGACACGGTTATTGAAGAAAGACTTGAGGAATATCACGAGGGAGATGACCATCAGGAAAAATATAAAGATATGACAACAGAGGAAACTGAGTCTCACGAAGAGGACACATTGGAAGGTTTTAACGAATACCGGGGAATGATTCTGGAAACGGTAAGTAAGAGTAAATTACGTTTTCATCAGCATGTAGATCTTGCTCCAAGCATTTAGGGTTTCTTTTCCGAAGTAGATGACACACAGGAAAGAATATTGTTTACCCCTTGCATGAAATAATATCGATGCTGATAAAGACGTATTTCGCTGTAATTTTAAGTCATGAAAACAAATGTGCAATGAACGTTTGATTTTTAGGTCATCGACATAAATCTAATGTTCAAACGCACTCCGAACGGTAAAGCAATAATGGAACTACTCAATGAAGGGCAGAAACCAAGTGACAATTGCATGAGTGCAATAAAACGGATTCTCTGCGACTATCTTAAATCGGTGTATGGATTGTAAGTATGAATGTATTTAATTTTGTGATCATTTCTAAAATGTAACGATTCTTATTACTAGACGCCCGTCTGCTTATCACAAAAACCTCCTGGCACAAAGTCTCGTGCATACATACCCGGCATTGTCGTCGTCAACTCCGGATGTACCGCAGGCATTATGGTTTCATCCCAACGGTCGGGGTAAACACCGCCACAGTGGACGTTTGCATTATCATATGGAGTATTTGGCAAGGACATCAGGAGATCGCGTAATAAATCGACGTAAATTACAAGCTGAGGAGATCAACGTTGGAGGAGAGGTTGATGTCGGTCCAGCCAATCCGGAACAAGAGGTTGATATGGAAGCAGTGGTCAGTAGTAGATGTTTTGTGTATTAGTTTATATCCATAATTGTATTTTATTTACATTATAGACGCAAGAATTTAAGTTTCTATGTCCTGGACCAAACACCAAACTACGTGCTGAAGAGCTTTGGCATCTTACTTTCAATGAACGGAAAGATTTGCGCCAAAAAGGAACATTCTACACGTATCTTGAGACCTATCCTGTTGCAACTGCCTTCAATGGGTCCATGGTAAGCATCTGTTATTGATTGCGAGTGTCGTTACAGTTTTACACTCTCAGCAGATTTTTCTACCAAGTAGACTAAAAGGGTTCCTCAGCAAAGTACGTTAGCAAAATGAAATCAAATCTATGTTTGCTGTTCCTATTTTAACCAAAACTATTTTGATTTTAATTTTCGCGACAAAGGTCTGATATAATTTTAAGCTTTCATTATGCAGTCAAGAGTTTTTTTTTTATTGAAGCAACTTAACGCAACGCAGCGCAACCGGATCTAATGTGGGTGGTCTTTTTCAGTGTGAGAAGCATGGATGCTAACCATTTATGCCCAGCCCGTTGATTTAATAGAAAGCAAATTAACGAATCAGTTCTATGACTTGATATCCTTTTTAACTCGGTAGTCTCTTCAATATTGTGTTGGGAAGAGCCCACACTTATGATATTTGTATACGTAATTACAAATTTACTCTTTTATCATAGATTTCTTTGGAATTTCACATGATGTACCCGAATGCTCCGGATTTCCAAGAAAAACTCGAATATCTGCAACCAAAATTGTTGTCACGCTATCGCGATCTTTTCAAACATGTGAAAGACGGTGAGTTAAAATGTTTAGAATCTGATAACAATTATTCTACTGGTGACCTGTTGCCTTTTTAAGATTTCATTCGAATGCTCATAATAATACGGCAGAAGAGCCCGAGTCGTGGAGCCAAAAGGACCCGGGACGCAGATCCAGCAAAGGACAATACTCTAAAAGGAATCGTAAAGGGTGTCCACGATGAAATTGCCACACTATGAAATTGCTCTAACTTTTTAACCGTTGGGTAGAATTTAATGAAAATTTGGGTGGATTTAGTTCATAGTGCATTATTTACATCCTGCAAGTTTTAAAGTCCTGTGATCAAAACTCGCGGAAATGGAGTCGAAAGAACAGCTCGTGCGTGATAAAATCTTGCGCATTCATCACGAGAACAAGGATCTCTCGCATCGTTCAATCGCTAAAACGTTGGGAATCGCGAATTCCACGGTGTCGCGAGTGATTAAGTGGTTCGAGGAACGGTTGACCACCGATCGGAAGCCCAGAAGTGAAGGAAAAAGTATTCCGTACAACACCAAAAATCACAACCGCGTAGTTCGGGCCTTCAACCGAAATCCGAACGCCTCCGTTAGGGATGTGGCTAAGAAGCTGCACCTAAGCCGAAGTTTTGTCCAGAAGGCCAAAACTAAGGCTGGGCTTCGAACGTTCAAGGTACAAAAGGCCCCTAATCGCGACGAGAAGCAGAACAAGTCCGCCAAAACCCGTGCCAGGAAGTTGTACCTCAACATGCTGACGAAAGTTGAATGCTGCATCATGGACGACGAAACATATGTGAAGGCCGACTTCAAACAGATCCCCGGCAACCTGTTTTTCACGGCCAAGGATAAGTTCAGCGTTCCGGAGCATGTCCGCACTCAGAAGATGTCCAAATTTGCGAAGAAATTCCTGGTTTGGCAAGCCATCTGCACGTGCGGGAAGCGGAGTGCACCTTTCGTGACCCAGGACACGATGAACGGACAGGTGTACATAAAAGAGTGCCTCCAGAAGCGGCTGCTTCCTCTCCTGAAGGCCCACAACATCCCAACAATCTTCTGGCCGGATTTGGCCTCATGCCACTACTCCAAGGACGTGCTGAAGTGGTATGTGGACAATAAGGTCAATTTCGTGCCGAAAATGTTCAACCCTCCCAACACTCCGGAGCTCCGCCCCATTGAGAAGTACTGGGCGATTATGAAGCAGCACCTTCTTAAACGACCTAAGGTAGTGAAGACAGTCGAGGAACTGAAGAAAGTATGGGTTTACATGCAAAAAACGGTTGATTCACAGGTTGTGCAGAATCTTATGGCCGGGGTTAAGGCCAAGGTGCGGGCATTTGCGTATGGACTGTAAATAAAATACGAGTAAAATGGTAAAATGAAGTTTAATAGTTATTTCTCAATCCCTGAAAATTTGATGGCGATCGGATGAAAACTCGAATTTTGCGAATCAATTTTGTGTGTGGCAATTTCATCGTGGACATCCTTTAGAATGGATTAAGGTGTGTGCTGTTGTGTCAGTTATGGCTACTGGGAAAATAAATTGTTACATGTTTTTGTTATGTTTATGGTTACAGCCTGAAGACCCGTATCCCGATACGAATGAAGTGCCAATGCTTTATGTAAAAGGAAATTTTCTGGAGAGTGGATCAAGTGCAGCTGTTACATGGAAGCGGAATAACATTTTGATGGAATCGGATCTGAAGCACTGCTTCCGTGTGCTATGTGAATCAATGGTAGTATTCAACTCTGCATGCCATCCAACGGATAAACAGATCTACACATTCATCTCGAATGTTTTGCTTGGAATTGGTCAACTAACCACAACTGGAGAGCGACTTATGCAAAGCATCGAATAATTAAATCCTGTATTTGCTTTCATTTCGTTTGTTTGCCATGATAAAAATGCTTGTATTTCCTTAAAATTCTGCATCTGAATGATTATTTTCGCTGAATATCAATAACATTTATATTATTTTTTGCAGCACATTTTTCTTTAAACCATAGAGAGACGAACCAGCCTATGTAATCATTCTATAAAAGAATAAATAAAACTTCACTATAAAAGAAACTCACGTCTATCCTTTCCCATATATGTATATATAGGAATCCCCCAAATAGTGTGGAGGGTGGTGAAGTCCACCTACAGCGATTTCTTGGTTGTTTTACTGCCAATTGAACTGATAATGTGTAGATGAATAGTTTTTAATTCCTCATTATTATAAATTCAGTTAAATTGGGTGGAGGACAGCTGAGAAATAGCGGTGGGTGGACTACACCACCCACTACGCTATTGAAAAAAAATCCGAAAAAAAAACTGCTTTTCAGTAAATAATTTAAGGAACAAAAAATATTCCTTAATTACTGAACTTCGTCAAAAAAAAAATACTGAGTTACTCAGCTATCGATCAATGCAATTTATATATTTTTGCTGAACAATTTTCAAAAATGTACTGAGTTGTCGTCACGCTAATACAGTCTATTCGGTTAGATTTGACAGCTCGCAAGAGTGTCATGATCTATATTTTTGCCGAAAGTTTTTCAAAAAATTACTGAGTTGTTGTCACGCAAAAACAATCCTTTCGGTTTTATTTGACAGCTCGCAAAAGTGCCTTGACTACCGATTGCTCAGCATCTGTTGAAATTACCGAAACGATCGCCGAGCGCTCAGCTGTTCTAATCTCGTCAAAAACTATACTGAGTTCGGTAAAAATAAGTTAGTGTGTTCGTCAACTTGATGGATGGTCATGGAGAGAGCTTCGACGAGCACATTGATATGAATGTACAAAGCGATACTACCATCATGTTTGACAGTCGTGATTGTGATGGGTCGCAACTCTGCTCCTGAATTTCCAATCGCCAGCCATCTACCCAGAATGTACCCCAAACAGCTTGGTCATCCTACACGGAGAAACAATACTACCAAAAATTTGAGTTCTTTTTACTTAATTTTAAGTTGAGCCTCTCACTTGCACTCGTTATTGAGCATGAGCCTGATTGACCGCCCACGGTTGCTACTGTATTATTGCCAGATCAGCTGTAATTACACAGAGAACCAACAGACGAAGCTTGGGACTAGCAATCATCCTCAATGTGTAAAAACTGGTGATCTCAAACTAGGCAATACCAGCGCCGGTCGCGCCCGAACGCAAGTCAAGAAAGGAATGGGTAGAAATGTGTTGACGTGACACTCGCTTTGATGAAAGCCGAGAAATCCTCTGCACTTCCACGAGGAATCACTGGGATTGTGGGTAAGAGGGTAGGGTTCATTTTGGTAAACGATAAGCTGAATTGATGTCCTAACGATAGGGAGGGGTTACTGTATAAATTAATAAAAAGAAATGATCCACCTAAATAACCAAGTGGAGCAACAGCAATCGGCCTCCTCGTAGACTATCTTCAACCTTATCTCCTTAAAACACAGACGTAAAAATTCCGGAGCCATCTCGTCGATATATAATTAATAAAATATAACAAAATACAAATAACCTCGATCTTCGTCACTCAATTTCTTTAAACTCATTCTCACTTGCACTCGTTATTGTTGTCAAAAAAGGAACGAGAGATTTGACCCAACCATATAGCACTGACGAAGATATCAGTGCTAGCATTTGAAAACGGCACAAAAGCCATTTGTAAACAAATGGTTTGTGGGCCCTTTACTCGCTACCCGAAGAACGCCCACGCAAACCAACAGCATCGTCAGGAAGGGGAAAATTTCCCCTACCCGATGTTGCTGTTGTGTCGCGTGGGTGTACTTCAAGTAGTGAGTAAAGGGCCCACAAACCATTTGTTTACAAATGGCTTTTGTGCCGTTTTCAAATGTTAGCACTGATATAGTTCAGCCAAATAAGTTACTTCTGAGTAAATGGCATATTCTGACATTTACGTGAATTAAATTTAATTTTGAGTAGAATATACTTAATAGTAGAGAGGGTCTAGTATAAGAGAGGAGCAGATTCAAAACAAACTGCCTTGGCAACCTATGCCCAGGTGATTTCTAGCAACACTGCCAATGCAACCAAGATAGGTGCTGCTCGATTGGCTCTGGCTTTGACAGTTCGTTTGGCTCAAAACCAGCCAGTCCACTCCTCTCTTATACTAGACCCTCTCTACTTAATACCCCGTTCACATTACAGCCTATATCATGAGTGCTCATACATCTAGTTTTCACTGGAAATCCTATGTATGAGTGCTCATTGCAAGACAGCCTATATTACGTGATGAGACCTACTGCTGTCATGATTTCCTGAGATTTGTCAAATAATGTAAATATTTACACCGATTGCATCGAAGAATATGCGAATCACTCAAATTTGGGTTATTGGACTTTTCGCGGAAATTGATGGAAAAGTACTTAATTTTGATTAGACTAACTTTATTTTCAAAAATAGTCGCAGTCGGTGTCGGAGTGGATACTTTTTTACGACTACAACTCCGACTCTCTGCATCGAATTGGTTCTATCTCCGATCGAATTGTTTAAGGCTGTGAACCATTTGCCGAGTTGAATTTAACTTGTGGTTAAAAGTGACATTTCGAAAGTTATTCTCTATGTTCGAAAATCCCTGTGGTGTCGATCGATCGGTTTTCGAGAAGAATTCAAAACGTTTGTCAAAATTTAACTTCTTGTCTGTCAGATAGCAGAATTCGACAGTGAGCATGCATAAGGGCCTATACGCGATGATCGATTCTCTTCGTCGATTTCCTCTTTTGTTAATAACTCGCTAGATTTAACGTTTCTCGGTGCGTTTGCTGTTGCTTTTGATAGCAACCTGTTACTACTCTGCATTGAACAAATTCTAGAAAATTGTTTCGCTTATCTTTAGCAATGCAAAGAGAAAAACGATGAAGAGAATCGATCATCGCGTATTCGCCCTTATGCATGCTCACTGTCGAATTATTCGATAGCTTTCCATCTGTCAAATTTTAACCAAAAGTTTTAAAAAAATCCACCAAAACAAGGTTAGCATTTTTTAGAATCCTAAAATCCTAACCTTGTTGGAGTTTTGTTTACGACGATCTGCATCAACAGCAGATACGATTTCACTCTGTACTTATACACCCCATGAAGACATATCACTTCCAGTTCCAAGGGACAAATTGAAGCAAATATTTGCATGCCTGCTTTCAAAGCAAATTAAATTAACCGAAAAGTTAGCATCATCAATAGTGCCTTATTTTCGTTCAGCTGCCATGGCAAATTAACCCGGCTGCTGCATAGAAAAATGCCATCAACGATGAAATGAGCCATATGCCGACACTGGCCCAACATCCAAGCACCCGACCCCGAAACTAACACTGTTTGACAGTTGCCATTTGGCTTCGGTCTCTTTGCTTTCTGTGTTGCCTTTTTAGAATCCTTAAGCCAAAAGAGCATGCAAAACGACTTATTTGCGTCCTCCTTCTTGTATTGTACCGGAATAACAAAAACATCTCATCTTGTTTGTACCTACTTGTTTTTTTTTAGCCCGTTGAGTATCGTAATCAGATTTTTTTTTTGCTCCGGTCCAATTGAAATTATTTCTCATTCACACCTTGTTGTTGTTGTTGTGTAGTAGGCCATGTTCCTCGTCAACCACTTCGCTTCCACTCACACTGCTGCTTCTGCTGCTGATGGAGCGGGCCAAATTGAGGCCATAAACTGTTTATTTATGAATAGGATTATCTGATTAGGATCACCTTGTTGGTTCGGTTCTGTCCCTTAAACTTGCTCCTTTCCATTCGTTCATTCATCCTGGAAACAGGTCATTAAGAACAGAATCTATAAGAAGGAAAAGTCAATTTTCGCTGCACTTCACCTCTATGCTGGAGATACGTGTTTTAACTTCCATACGGGACACAAGTTGGAAAATATACATACACGAGCACGGGATTACCACGTAAACAATTGCACCCATTTAATGGGCCGCCTTTCTGTTTTTATGGAGGTCGCATGCCATCGGAAGGCCATTGGATGGCTAAAGGTCAGTTGGAAATGCATGCAAACACAGCCAAGTCTATGCATTTCTCCGAATGACATCGGATTAGCACTGTAAGCCGATTAATATTCTGAATGGAACTGTTAATTATGTTGAAATTTTTTGTTATTATCATATTATTAAGATTCAACGGCAGCTGATATTTAATATTTTGGGTTTGTTAAAGCTGAAATTACTTCGAGAATTCGGACTATTCGTGCGGAAACCTGTGTAATTCGGTATTCAAATAAACCATTTGAAAATTAGCCATTTAAAAAAAAAAATCTAATCAATCACATTGGAAACGACGTTCAATTTGTTCTCATTAGCCAATGGAATCAATCACCTGTTTAACTAGTTATATTGCTAGTTGGAACCGTTTTAAATTTCCCCGAAGGGTTACATCTTTGCTAAGCGATTCCCTCGCATCCTCACACGCTTTCGGTGGTTTTTTCAATGACCCAATTTTCTCAAATGATTGATCACTTTCAACCCTGCCGAGTTCAATTAGTCGTCCTGAACCCAAACAAATCAATGTCATTGTTTAAAGTTTAAACAGACCATCGTAGAGAGTGTGACACGTTCCCATGGAAGGCTGGGCGCAGGATGAATCTTCTGTCAATCCTAATAACGTTCAACCGACGACTATGAATCTCACGCACAGTCAGCGGTCATCGGGATGGGTTCTCTGCTATATCGGCGTGGTGTGTACAGTTGTGGGACAAATTGTTCACATCACCCATGTAGAGCAATGTAGGCTCCTGCTGAGTTGCAGGGAAATGTCATTTTTGCGTCACCACATGTGGCTCCTATAGATCTCGGTTGCAATTTCGCTATTGGATAACACTGTTATTACTACCAATATATGTATAAAGGTCGGTCGGTCGGTGTCTGGGAAGAA